ACAAAAATGCGGCGCGCCCTTGGGGCACCATCCGTGCTGGCACGCTGGCATCCCCCCGCCCCCTCCCCAAACCCGGGGGATGCTGTCGCTGCGTGTGGGACCCCAGTCCCTCCCCCCCCAGCACCCACAGGGTGTCCCCCGCCGAGCCCCTCAGTCCACAGGGAACTCGCAGGGGTTCTGGCGCATGCGCCGTGCTGCCTCATAGATGCGTTGGAAGTCCCGGTAACGGGGTGCACAGCTCAGCCAGGCTTCTCCGAAATGCAGCCACCCCGTGAAAAGGAAGGTGCCGGGGCCTGGCTTGACGCCGCAGCGCAGTGGAGTGCGAATGCTGCCTGTCATCTGCCCCCCCGTCTGGAAAAGGGGGAACTTTTGGCGGTGGATGCGAGCGGTGCTCACCCCGATGACAGATTCCTGCAGCTCCACGTCAGGCGCCCCGGAGGCTGCCGCGGATCACTGTGGGGGCAGGAGGGAAAGGCGGGGAGGGGTGTCAGTGTGTCCCTATCCCCTTTCTCATTCCTGTCCCCATCTTCATCCCCATTCTTGTTTCCATCCACATGTCCATTCCCATCCTTATTCCCATCCCCATCCTTGTGTCCCCATCTTCGTTTCCATCCCTATCCCCATTCCCATCCTTGTCCTCGTCTTCATCGCCACCTTTGTCTCCATTCCCATCTTTGTCTCCATCTCCATCCCATCCCTATCCTGTCCCCGTTCCTGTTCCTGTCCCCATACCCATCCTCATCTCCATCCCTGTCCTCGTTCCCATCTTCATCTCCATCCTTGTTTCCAACCCCAACCCTCTCCCCATCCCCATCCTGTCCCAGTTCCTGTCCCCATTGCTGTCCCCATCCCCATCTCCATCCTCTTCCCTGTCCCCATGCCCATCCCCACCCTGCAGCAGCCTCTGTGACACCAGTGGCCACCACCCAAGCCAGGCCAGCTCGAGAAGTGGACACCAGGACTGCCTGGGGGCCATTGCCCTCCCAAAGTTGGACTTTCCTTCCCTCCACCAGGACCCCCCCCAGCACCGACCGGATGCATGCTGCACTCACCAAAGTCACTAGTGCAAATGGCCATCAAGATCTCGGTGTTGTTGCACGGCCGGCATGCCCCTGCAAAGGCCAAGCAGAGCCCGTCACCCCAGCAGCGCCCAGAGACCGGTTTTAGTGTCCGGGTGGGGTCATCACCCCAGATCCATCCCTTTGCCTCCACTGCCGGGGAGACCCCAGCTAGGCAGACAGACAGCAGCCCCAGGGGAACCCATGGGCAGGCCAGTCAGAGGAAACTGAGGCAGGAATGGATGCTCAGCACTCACCTTCA